TATTAGCAACATGATTGAATAGCCACATTCACCTCACGTGTACGAAGGGAATGAGAGCGGCCCACCGGATGTGCCGTTATTCTTGTGCGCCCAACAAGTCGTCGGTGATCTCGATGGGATATATATAATCACAGCTCAGGGTATGCGACGGGTGAGAAGTTATCTGATTAGTGAGCCAGAATATTTATCGTACGTACGTATCATAGCTTGACAAGCGCCCATTAAGTTATTACTATTGTCCACATGATTCATTATGGCACTCATCTTGGTGGCACTAGGACGTAGCTATATAGTAAGCCATGTCCTTCGAAGTTTCGGCATTACTCTATTATCAGCAGCACGGATCACCGTTATCCTGGCTAGCAGAAATTGAATATAACAAGCATCACTGATCTGCCTGAACATTTTTCAGGAAGAACTTATTTTGCACATGATGGTGCTGATTCTGCCGGATGTCAGTAATCTGGACTCTGGGGAACAAACATGACATACTCATTCGGTGATTCATTGTAATACCTGTCACGCAATAAATTTAACCTTGCAAGGTGCTGCGTAGATCTATGGAACTTGTACTATTCTGCCTCTCAGAATGCATTAAAAAGAAGAATCGCCAACGAGAGATTACTGAGATTGCGGCCCTGCTCGCACGAGCTCACTGGGACCGATCGTATTGACGGTGAACTGATAAAGCTGATTGTCGTAACCGGGCTTTCCCGAACTGGCGAGATGCAATGAACGACGATGCATGATATCTGGCTAGATGAACCGAAATATTAATTTTGATCCATCAGATTCCAGATAAGACTCACTCACAGTACGGCAAGACATCCACATCGATTATACGACCCCGGGTTTCGGCTTGGTGCCCAACAGTCGGCGTGATGTGGTCGCTTTCTCGCGCACAACGTAGTACATGTTGGTACTTCAGAGTTGTAGATCTCAGAGGTGGGAGTCAGCCTTGCGTGCCGTTAGAGATGTCACATGGACAGAACATGCCAAAGATCTAGAACAAATGGATTTCTGTCTCGTGGAGATTTATTGAGTCCGCAATCAACAACCGGCATCTCACTCAACCTGGCAGCTTTCTTGAATCACATCTCCAAATGGGCAGCCACCACGCCGCGCAACTACGCCATAAATACGTTTATCAACACGTTCTGGCACTGCTTTACTTATCGGCCCCTTCAGAATAAGCCTTTCTTGCCCATATGCACAAGCAGCTAGACTGACCGACAAATTAGGCTGCGTGTAGCCAGCACCACATGGGAATCATGGGAGCTCTCCTGTCACATGCTGAAACGCTACTTCAAGAACATTTAAGCATACATAGGCTGATAGGAGAATCGAAGCGAAGCATAGAAAAAACAGTTAATTTAACTATATAAAATCGCGGGAATGTAAGATGATGCCAAGTGTTTGCGAGAGTGCTAGCGATATGGCGTGGTGTTACCATGGAGATCCTCGCAGGCTTGGCCCTCCAGATAACTGTTCGCCATTTGTGAGCTATCGAAAGAAAGTTAGTCTAGAGGAAGAAGGAGAAGATGATGTACAATACCACAGCATTAATCTGCTTATGAATCAAACACAAAACTAAGTTGCCAATCAGCAAGGTACGACAAGCAGCTCACACATGAAACTCACAGTCCAAATATGACATAGCAGCATTATTCTGATCTTCGACAAGCATGTCACTGAACTCAATTTCCGTCCCATCCATATTTTGGCGAACGAGAAGCATTTTCGGAGTGCGACCTCGCTGAGCGTAGCGATGCGTGAGTATATTCCTAACCTGAGCAGATAATCGAGTGTGAAGAACTGGGAGCTGGATCTGTAATAACGAAGATCAAGGAAAGGACATTTTGGTCGACCTGAGCACTAACGATATTCGGATCCAGAGTTAGGAGGTCGTCGACACCAAATAGGTCAAGAAGTAATTGCGGGGACACACTGGAACCGACCCAAAATATCATGAGATCTTCGTTATCTGATGGAAGGACGTAGGTAAGGAAGTTATACCGAAAGAAGTGCGGGACAAACCTATTAGATAGACGCCGTGTGCTTCCATGTAGGTGTGGCTGTCCCGCATCAGTGACGGAAAAGACATCTGACCTGTTGTGGGGTCTGGAAGCGCTGTGTCGTCTGCCAAGTCGTGAAGCGCAAGAAGGCGGGGATAGAGATGCTGCATTGTTGCGCGCACGCTCATAGATAGGATCCTCTGAGCATGATAGTTGCGCACGTCCGCAGACACATTACGACCTGCGAAAGTATGTTAATCGACGAAAGCAAGAAATGACCGAATCACAATAGCACACCTTTGAGGGGTTTGCACTTCATGATCGCTAGGGTGTATACAGGCAGAGCTCGAAATGCTTCAGGTATAATTAGCTGCGAAGCTTGTTAATGAAAGGGACGGAGATGATATCTAGCGGACTCGCCTGAGAGACAGCGGTAGCAGCCGCACAATTCCGCCGATAGCCGAGTAATATCGACGAACATCTATCAGTCGAGCTCTTCTCGAATGTGAGCCATTCGTCGTGAAGTCAATTTTGACATCGCTGGAATGAATGTGAGGAAAATTAAAGGTGGCAAAAAGAAGGTAAAATCGGACATTCCCTTGCCAGATGACACACTACGGCATCCATATCAGCATACCTAAAAACGTTGGCGGCCAAATCTGCCACTTCCAGGGCAAGGTTACATGTTCGGACACGGCGTTGACCATCTGGTGTCGTATGGAGCACAGCGCACTGCAAGAATGCATACTCTCGAGCATCCAACTTCCGTGAGTGCTCGATATGCACGGATATAGCTTTGTCGGAGTCAAGAATTCCAATGTCCAAGTCCGATACGGAACGCTCATGGAAATTTCCATAATAATTTGATATTCGCAGGCCTGCACAACTTCGTGACTTCTTCGGGGAAGATATTGATCAATAAAGACTTACCATTGGAACATCGCACGCGCAATAAACAATTGTATACTGTCGTGCGAGTTAGTAAACGCCGTAGCTGGGAAGTCAAAACGTGTTGATCTCGTGCAGGATTAAACCTAGGATGGAAAAACAGTTCGCCGCCAGTGGTAGAGGATACGATGCCTGTGCAGATGCTTAGCAATGAGAGCACTGGCAACAGGAAAAAGAAAGACGTGCCGATAGATCCAATATCGATAGGTTTGCTCATTCCAAGGAACATACTGACGCCAATACCCTCCTCTGAGCACTCCTCAGCAATGTCTCTCCATGTCTGATGACGAGGGAGGAACATAGTTCGCTCGTTTTCCGTGCCATATAATGACACCTGATCATGTAGTGGTTCAAGAGCACCGGGTCCAATCGCAGGTAAGACACTCTGGAAAGCAATGATGTGGCCCCCTCGGCCTGCCTGCACGAGCATGCTTTAGCTAGATCACGTGATTATTAACTAGGACGTACGAGCGAAGCTAGCCCAGCAAGTAGTGCTCCCCCAAGCGCTGCATTATCAATGACGGTATCTAGATAACGTTCTGGTAATGCCTCAAGTAGACCTTCGATGGCGGTTCTTGAGAAGGGAATGAGAGTGACTTGAAAATTAAGGTAATAAACGTTCCTGACCTGGATTTCCAGGGATCTACAAACAAGCCCTCACGCAAAGGAATAAATACTTCCTCTAAGTCGGAAACCACAATCATGCTTGCCAATGACGAGGCTGGCTAGAATTTGTCTATATCAACTTGACGCAATGATGCGAGTTGTACGCTTACAGACAGATCATAGAAGTGTAGAGAGGTGTCATATGTCAGAATCGCAAGTTGAGAACCTTTTGGGAAGGACGGCTCTGACAAAGTTCCGTCAAGGGAGGTACCGCCGTAGAGCATATCTCGCAGAACATCACAAGCAGCCTTAAGAAAGCCCGATCGAATGGCTTCCAGCGAGACGTCAAACGCAAAAAAACAGTTCAGGGATTTGGGCTCGCGTGCTTGAGAGGAAGGAGGGTCGATAGAGAAATACGATGAATTCATCTTCGGCAGAGGTGGAGGCGCCCAGTATTCTTTTCCTGAGACCACGAAGTCAACAGTTCCCTTGTTCAATTCAGGGCGATTTGGAAGGTCTATTCGCATAAGATTTGCGTCCAAATTGCAAAAATAATCCGGCAACACTGGAAACCAAAACTAAGATACCGTCACTTTAAAGGTCACACCATGCCATACCTTGAGTTTCGTGACCGCAAAGATTACACTTCCATTTCCATCCGCCGGCAGTCCATGCACACCATGGGTTAATGTACCCTCTGCACTCCTTGCACCGAGGGGGACCTGAATCACCGCAGTCCACGACTGGGATAGGCTCTTCGCGAGGATCAAGATCTGCAAATGGCTGGAACACTGCCGTAAGGGGAATATCGCACTCTTTCGCCAAATGAGAGGAGCTTGGAAGGTTCCACGTTGATACTCTCACGTGTTTTGGGCTCGAGTTTCCTGTAACAGAAGATTTGCTCAATGACCACGGAGCAAGATTCGAAGCCGAGGTAACAAATTGTCAATGTCTGCAGTGAGACCAGCATGGCATACAATGGCGTGAAAAGGTGTTGTCTACGTCCCACCACACATAGCACCTAGCCCGAACGTTACATTCCCGGGAGGAAATAAGGCTTACCTTGGTCAAACGCTGTGAAGTCGGATGTTGATAGTGGTGGATTGTTCCCGGGTAACGTCATGAATGAATTTCCTTCCCATTTCTCCTTGTCCGATTCTATCATGTCTATCGGAGATGGCATCTGACTTGGGTCGATCCGAGGTCGCAACCCTGTGGAAGTAAGTGTCAGCTAGAGATCACAAAGTGAAGAGGCAGCTGACGTTCCCTTGTAAGGTTCCCCAGCACTGTGCGGCGGTTGTGGTATGTGTCTGTTGGCATGCATGTAGATTACCACACTGACAAGTATAATACTAGTTGGGTTCCTGTCAGAAACTGTTGTTTGGCATAGGCTTTAGATCCAAACAAACAAACTTGAAATTGATTTGCAACTTGCGCTTCAAGCGATTCATTCAGCTTGCAGGCATGGCCACTTCGCAAGTTACCTCCGTTCTACCCGTCATGACAGATATGCAATTACCACAATCTTCATCTGCTACACCTAGTGAAGATATAACATCAAATGGCACTTCCATTTATCCTCAATCTCATACACGGTCCCCTCCGAGTCCATTGACTGCCACTTCGAATAGCAACCAAACTACTATAGGCATGGGGCCGATGTCTGGTTCTATACATAATGGCGCAAATTTGATTCTAGATCTCATTAGGACTGAAAGACAACAGGTTTCCGAGGTCGGCCAGCGAGAGATGGCACACATTCAGCAACAACACAACGAGTATCGTGCATCGTATTCGAAAGTGATTCTGGAAGAATCAATCAAGCGACGTGATGCTGAGGACAAAGTTGTGTACCTCTCAACCGAACTGGCCAGATATACCAAAGGGGCCACTGAAGTACAGAGTATCGCTTTGCAAGCTAGAGCAGCCGCAACTGTGGCGCATAATACCGCTTCTGAAGCTGAAAAAGCAGCAGATGAAGCTCGCAGCCACCTCATGGCGGTCCAGGATGCGCTTCAGCAAGTTGGAATTACTGTTAGTCGAGATGACTCTGTAGCATCCAACACGCCGAAGATAATCTTGGGTACGCCATGGCTCGAACTCATCCCATCCCAAATCCATAGCTCAGATACACCACTCCCCGGTTCCTCCAGTGTCCCAGACAACAAGCCGGGTTCTTCCCCTTCCCATACCCAGCACCTCGGCTCGCCATCAAAATTCATCTCGTCTATTAAAGAACACATCAGTTATCTCAGCGATACATTGACCGTCGCCCAAAACAGCTGCAAAGATCTTGACTCCCAACGCAATCAGCTCCAGAGCGACCTTCGTATGCTGTGCCACGATCGAAACGAGCTTGAAAGCTTAAAGAAGAAAACAGAAGACAACGCGGAGTTGCTTGGCCAGTGGAAAACTAAACTTGCAAAATTGGAAAATGAGATACAATGGTTGAAAGTAGAGCGAGATGACGCGGTTAAGGCCGAAGCGGAGGCTGCTATTGCATGTGAAGAGATGAGGAGCACCTCGGCAGCTAGTGCAGTCGTTCCTCAAATCGTATATTTACCTCCTGTTCTCAAACCGAATCATCCTACTAACAGAGGTTTCTACCAGCACGTTCGACCAGCTCTTACAAGATCAACAACGTCAAGCCGAGGCGAACGCTGAGAAGGTTCGGATAACACTGGAGGACTCTATTGAAACCAAATCCGTGCAAATCCGTGACCTACAGAACCGGCTCATACAGCTTACGGCCACTGTAAATGAATGGGAGGGTAAATACGATGCAGTAACTGAGGAGCGTGACTCCCAGAAGCAGCTCCTGGTCGCTGAACGGCAGAAATACAAAGAGTATGTAACCGTTCAAACATGTGACACCGTGAATGTTGACTGTACATCAGAGCAAGCTCTAGCCAAAAGGAACAGATAGATGATTTGCAGAAACGACTGGAAGCTAGTGCCTCAGAGGACGTCATAATGACCAAGGTATTACGAATAGATGAGCTTGAGAAGGAACTGGCCTCAGTCCGGGCACGCTACGCGAAGTCGATCCAGGAGAGAGATGAAGCCGTTGCTTTAGTCAAGTCTCGCGATGCACAAATGGAAGAATTGCAGGAGACACTCGCAGTATCTTCAAGTCGCAAATTAACGAAGGAGGGTGCGCGAAAGAATAAAGCAAGTGGAAGTTCCGAGGAGAAGAAAACTACTCCATTGAAATCATCGACCTCTCATGACCAGATCCAGTTCAGAGCGCCTGAGGTGCGCCCCATAGCCGCATTGATAGGTCTGTATGAATACCTTCTATGTTTAACGTCCTTTACTAACTTTGATGATAAGCCGATCAACGGTCTAAACAAATCACTGGCCCTAAAAAAATTGGGAAGCTGAAGTCCAAGTCCTCAAGCACTGCACCGGGTTTCTCTGCCGCTCGCCCGATGGAGATTGACTCAGCGTCATCGACTGATGTGGAAATCATCTCAGGACCGACACCAATTGTCTCGCAGGGGTCTAATAGTGAGTGACTATCGAACCAACCATCGCATTTTCAGTCACTTATTACGTTCATTAGCGAAGCAAAAATCTCTCCGTACTGGATCGAACAAAACGCCTTTAGCTGTTAATACTGTCCAGACAGTCGACTCCCCCGCAGAGAAGACTAGTCTCAAGCGTACTGCAGACACGAACGATTCTTCCACACCAGTCACAAAGCGGCCCAAACTCTTTCTTGACTCATCCGCTAGCTCCGTTGAGAAAGCCGCGCCTGCTGCATCCAGCTCGCCGGTTTCAACTTCCTCGGAGTCGAGATCTGCGACATCTTCACCAGTCATTGCAAAGCCTGCCTTCAACTTCAAATTTCGAAAAAATTCTGCGCAAGCAAGTACTTCAGTCTCCTCGGGCGGTGCGACGCCATCGGAAGCTATGGGTAGCCCGCCAAATGTACGCACATCCCAGAGTGCGACTTCAAACGAAGCCCCTTCTGTGGGAGCCGGCGACGGCGGCGCGTATCGCAGATCAGGTAGCGTTGCCTCAGAGACTGAGCTCGCAGTAGAAAGCACACTTGGTGCGAAACCTCGAACCCGACTTCTGAGACATGGGCAAATGAAACCCGTCGTATCGACAACTGGCGAGGCTACCAGCTCCAAGAAGCATGCTGAATTCAAAAATTTCAATCCTAGTGATGTTCCAGCAAAGGAACAGCCCCCTGGGTCATCGGCTCACTCAACGGCAATGAGCGAAGAGCAGCCGCAAAACGCCCAAGGTGCAGCATCTGCAAAAAGCAAACCGTCTTTGCTGCGCCGATTCAGTAGGTTTATCTTTTCAAGGACATTTCAACCGAATTCACCCGACTCCTAGGCGGCATAGATAACCTTTCAACACCTCCATCCAATTCTACACCATCTCCGTCCCTTTCAACTGCCTCTGGGAGTGCAGCTGGTCGAAGCAAAGCCAATTCCTCTCGTGACACCATCTCAAAGGGCATCTCACAGCCAGCAGGAGCTAAGTCTATTTCTAAAGGCCCGAGGTCGTCGATGGCTATGTTACAAGTGACTCTAGAATCTTCTCCCAAGGCACCGAAGTCGACGACAGCGACTAGGTCATCAGGAAAGGTACCCCAAAGGCCAACGGGGACGCCCAATACCGGAGATATCAAGAAAGGCACCTAAATCCCTCTTCGTATTCCATTACCTTGTATGATTAACCGGGCTCTTCAAATACCCTGTCACTGTAAAGCACTCAAATTACCCGTATCTTACTCTCGTTTAATATGTTTTACGAAAAGCTAGTTTCTTTTGTTGTACATGTAGTATGTACGCTGCTTAGATGGACGACAATTCAGTGGTACACATTATAGAAACACAAACGGATTGAATAATAATTTCAATGAACATGTGAAAAGCGCGTCGTAGCTACCACCTCTAGCTGCACGGAACATACAGTGACTGAGTGACATATTATTTGAGCAAGACACGTCGCTCGCGCGATCGCAGGTATCACGCGACCCATTAGCTTGGTGTAAATAAAGTTAAACCCAGTCAGCAATTTGTTTTTGGAGACAATTCAAATCTTGTTCGGCCCAAAGGGACCTAGATGATATCCGTGGACATTCAACATAGGGTGTGACAACTTGGAGTAATTTTTTTGAAATCTTCTCGTGGTTATAATGTATCATAATTGAAAGGAGTTACATAGCTGACTGTAACTATCAATGGTCTCGTCGAAATCTGAGAGGTGCATCAATGTTAGCATGGCGTTGGTTAATCAAGCAAGGCTACGACAAGACACACATATCGGTTGTAAGTGTAGAGAACGATAAGATGTGGTCTAAGAAGCCGGCGGGAGGATGGTCGGATGATAGCCAGGTTTGGTTTGATCAGCCAGCATAAGAGAGACGGATGCTCAAGGACTATATCATAACTTCGCCGTTGAGCCATACACCCTGGTCTCCCCCCACAGACTCCATACGAATGCCTCCTCCGGCGCTAGTCCACGTTTAACTATTTCTTCATACGCAGCCTTCACCTGGTCAGGACCACAAACCCGCCGAAGTGATACACCCCAGGTTCCACAGTCGGACATAAGCCTGGTCCAAGCTTCCTTCTGCATCTGAGTGATCGCAGAAACAGAAAGCTGTTGCTTGCGTACGGAGAGCCACTCAGGCATGAAAAAATGTTCCAGTTTTGAGTCACCTCCTTGCGAAGCCTCTAAACCAGAACCCCAGCTAGTAGCAGACGAGGGTTCGGTTGTAGAAGCTGACACGTTCGTCAAGCCGAGCGCAATGCATGTGACGAGTTCAGAGTCGCCACACGCACGGAAATGGTCGCGCACTCTGGCGTTAAGTGCATCGTTACCTGTAACGTCTACATATATCCAGTGTCCTCGTGCGAGGTCCCCGACAAGTGACGTATCAAATGACTCGTAGTCAAGGGCATCGTCGTATAGGGCAAGCCGTTTCGTGAAAGCGATATTCTTCGTTGACGTCAGTCCAATCACCCGTCTTGTCGAACTCCCCTGCAAAGAGTTACGTCTGCGGATCAGATATGCCAGGCAGAAGGCAGTCTTTGAAGAGGCAGAGGATATAAGGATATGAGTGGACCCTCCCTTGTAATTGGACGAATTAAGCCAGTCCTCACACCAAAATGAAGTCCAGAAAAGAGGGCGATAGAGCATTGTGAGATCTTCCGCAGTTGGCGATGGATCATATAACGGGTCCTCGGCGCACCGCGTAATCTGGTTGTATGGTCGGCGGTCTATGTCATTTAGTGAGTGCCTTCGTGCGTCAATCTAGGAACCAAATCACCTGGAGGAAGATGAAGACGGGGCACAAAGAAAGCATACTTGTTGGCGTCCGAGGAAACCGGGAGTAAAAGATATCGTGCTGGGGCGAAGTATCCATACACTCGCTCTCCGGTATGAACTTTAGGGTGCGTGGACTTTATGATAGTACCAAAACCCCACACAGGAGTCACACCATGAGTTGTTGAGGAGACTCCTTCTGCATCTGGAGCGTGGTGGAATTCAAAATACCTAGCATGCTGAAGTGGTTAGACGACTCAGAAATGTCTGTACTGCGAAAAGGGACGGACCTGAAGTGCGAGGCCTCGCCCAAAGCTTGATATGTCATATTGTTCGTGGAGAAACCGAAGCGGTCGACTTCTAGCAGGACATGGTCATGAGGAATAGTCTGTGGAACTTCACATTTAACTATTATTGCTTGATTGGGATCTTGACTAGAAGACGCCCTCGGGTGACAGAGTATCAGATTTTCCATCTGTTGCATGTTGACATTCAGATTCGACAGACGAGGATCGACAGGATAATGGCACTTGTACTGTGGTTAAAGCTAGAACTTGTGTATAGTCTACTAAGTACTGTGTGCACCGCCACCACCGTGACTCATCTGTACGGCAAGTCCATACCAGGGGTTGCGGCAGGACGCGGGCTGGAGAGGCTCATGATGCACAAGGCGGTCCTGTCAGGGACAGGAGGTATCAACTGTATTAAGTCGCATTTTTTTTACTGATGAAGTTGATTGTACACTTGCTGTATTTCTATTGCTACCGTATTCTTGTTTCACAATAAGCAAATCATCTGGCTTGACCCGTTGTCGAAGTGCGGGAACAGTTCAGCAACGAGCTCGATACGCAGCAGAGCAAACCGCGCCGGACAAAATAAAAAGAAATGAATTGCCGCCGAAAGGATGTGCAGAGGAGTCTAAAGAACAGCGGGCGGGAAGATTACTGAGAATTTGGAAAGGAAGGCAAAACTGAGAGTGGTGAAAAAAAGCGCAATGTGCGACGTGCAATGATGAGCGGTATTTCTTGCTTTGACGAAAATGCGGATACGAGGTATGGGTTGGATAAATATGCGGTGGTCGTACGGTACGACATGACGCCATTCTAGTAGGGCGGGCGCTTGAACTCGTTGCTGATGATCTGTGCCTCAGGGTCGAATTCGTCGTCTTTTACGATTTTGCCACTGGCATCATACTCGGCAACAGAGCGATCGGGACTAGCGAATGTGTCCATCTAGACATGTGGGATTCAGAATGCAGAGGAAGGCGTTTGTGGCAAACTTTTACCTGAACGTGTACACTGTCGCCTTTCTTGACGGAAATGCGATTATTTGCGCTAGCGTTGCTCCTGAATGCGAGTGTCGAGCCCTGGGTGGAACTGCGTTTGAAGAAAAGGGGTAAGTCGAGGAACGTACAAAAGGACTGAAAACGTACGTGAAAACCTCTGGACCTTGAGAGGTGAAGTTGGTCAACCTTCGTACGACGCGGCATGCTACGATCTGGAA